TTCGTTTGGCTTGTATGTTGTGTGTGGTTTGGGTTGGGCATGGGCAATGTTCACCCCAGGTTATATACGACTAGAAATATTGACGTGGACTGTTGGTGTTTGTTGTTGTTTTTTGTTTTGTGTGTGTGTTTTTTTCTTTGCTCTACGTTCACTTCAAACTTGCTGATTTATGGTATTTTAATCAAGGTTATTTTTACGCTCACCCCCGATACAAGTTACATTATTCAGCGAGCGAGCTTCGACCCAGCCTTTCAGCGGCTAACCCGGGCTACTGGAGAAGGACTGGACATGCCAGCAGTAAGACCGAGATACTCGATAAAACATTCCCCACACGGGAATCGATCTCAGGTCTACTGCGTGCGACAGCACAGTGTCTAACTGCTACACCAAAGACGCCGGTGGACCTTGCCTATCAACTGGCGTCCATGAAAACCTCTCAAATATATAATATAAATCATCATCATCATCATCATCATCATCATCATCATCATCATCATCATCATCATCATCATCATCATCATCATCATCATCATTATCATCAACTGTCAGATCTGCCGCAGACATCGGCGACCATGGTCATTCATTACTTTGCTCGGATGCTCTTAAAAAAGCTACGATACCCTGATCTTTCCCCATTACCCATACATAAAAGATTCTCCAAGTAGGTTGCTATCGGCCTACCCCTACCTCGTTTGCCTTCAATTTTGCCAGTGAGAGCAAGATGTTCAAGACCTTTATATGTCTATTCAGGTGTCCCAAAAACTGCATTTGTCTTTTCCTGATAGTTTTTAACAGTCAACATCCAATGTGGGCTTTATCAAGCAGGTTACTACCTCATATATGATTTCTTTTCCTTCTAAGATATTCTCAACAGTCTCCTAAGAAACCACACTTGCTGTTGCTTCTATCATATTTGCACTACAAATACATGTACATAGAATAATACATGTATGTTTAAAGGGCCTACACCAGTTCCATGATCCCTGAAGGTATAGGTTTAACGGTTGGAATGGAGATATTGGTTCAGCCATCTCGGCCATAATTTACGTGGCATCTGTTGTTTACTTCAGCCTAGGCTGAGCAAAGAGCTACACACCCACCCACACATTAACAGCGATAATAATATACTGCAGGGATTAAGCGAAACCGATAGACAAAAACAATAGTGGGAAAGCTGTGAATCATAATTTCTTACTGTTAGATCTAAGGCATTTACTCTTATTTGAGGACTCGCCCTCTGTGAATATGAAATAAAAAAAAGGGGGATGGATGGCGGGGGCTGTCGACTGTTGGCCAAACAGGGCACTCTTTTGTGAGAGACAGGGAAAGAGAGAGAAGGGGGGGGGATGAGAAAGAGAGGGGGGAGTGAGAGAGAAAGGATGGAAGTGAGAAAGAGAGGATAGGGAAAAGAGAAGAGGGAGAGAGGATAGGGAAGAGAGAGGGAAAGGAATTGGAACAAAAAGACAGAGGGGGGGGAGGAGAGAGACAGGGGAAGATGGGATGAAATATAGGGGAAGGAAGGGAGAAAGAAAGAGAGGGGGAGGGAGAAAAAGAGAGTGTATTACAATATGAGAACAGAAAATGAGGTAGGCCTTGTTGTGTGTGATAGGGTGAGGGAGTGAGCGATAGGGTGAGGGAGAGAGAGCTACAGATGGATAGAAAGAGAGCAGGCTGGAGAAAGTTGCATGGTCGTAGTGGGACAAGAGGGAGAAAGAGAAAAGAGAGAAAGATGGGGTGAGAGAGAGGAAGGAAGGAAGAGAGAGAGAGAGAGAGGGAGGGAGGGATGGATGGATGGAGGGTGAGACAGGCAGAAAGAGAAAAGAGAGAGAGATGGGGTGAGAGAGAGAGAGACAGAGAGAGAGAAACAGAGATAAACTGATGGATGGAGGGGGAGACAGGCAGAAAGAGAAAAGAGAGAGAGAGAGGAGAGAGAGAGAGAGAAACATGTTGCTGAATGTGTCTACTGACCAGTGTGTTCAGATCGTTACAATAACACAGACAGATGTAGTTGTTGTAGTGTCCAGCCTGTAAACATCGCTTCTTCTGTTTCCCGCTGTTTCAGACGTCCCTGGAGAGTATACGACCCGCTGACAATACAAACAGCCTCCTGTGCCAGCTACTGTCGGAGTGAGCAGGTCACCACAGCTCACCCACTTAGGATTTCTCTATTGGCCATCATTGACAGCCCTGGGACGCTCACTTCTTCATGCCATGGATGCTTGGTGCAGGCTATGAACAGCTGAGAGATGGGTGCTTAATGTGTCGGTGCTGAGTGCTTTTTGTGTCGGTGTTGTTGCCGCTCTCAAGTTTCTGAAGATCGGAAAAGATCCCAAGTGTCAGTTTGGACTTAGTAAACGGTCCTTTGTGCTGATGGCTTGCGATTCTGGAAGGATCTTTGACACTTTCTGTACCCAGTTAATGAACAGAGTGGCTCCTGATGAAGTCAGTAGACACCTTCCGTCGTCGGTTGTGCTTCTGTTGGAAGTGGTTTCTTCTGTCCATGTGATATTTTCCGTGTTGGTGGGAGCTGGTGTCTCTGACGTTCCCGATATACCGTTTGTGCGGAGGATTTTTTTTCTTTGGTCAACTATTAACCACAGATGAAGGTGTGGGGAAGAGGGGGACGTTCGGAGTCCTGTGGCCAAGTGAGCCAGGGCAGCATGGCCGAGGTTAGAGAGCCGAGAGTGTGAGTGTTTAGTTTACATTGCCCACCATATCCTTTACTTCTCAGGGAATTAGAGCAGTATTTTCCAGTAGGATTCCACACCGGCCTCACCCCCACGTCGTGTTTGCCGGCTGAGCTACTCATGGTCAGCTGTCTCTCTCTCTCTCCAGGTTTCACGATGAGTGACTTTTAGGTCCGGCATATCAAGCAGTTGACACTGCAGACTGTTCCTTGCTACGGATTGGACCTCCCTCCTGGCAAAAGTTCTGAGTACAAGTTTTAAACGATGATACCTTCTCTTTCCTTGGTGTGGAATTTAAGCTTGAGCTGGAAGTGTATTGTGAGTACCTGACAGACTCTTTGTTACCCTCGTGAGCGGATTATGAACCCTCAAGGCAGCCCTGTAGTGATATTATTTCTTCAGTACCCCTGGAGGGGAGTGAGCCTAGTTACTGGTAATACTTGTATAGCATTCACTGGGGTTGTCTGTTGGCTGCTCCCATCAACATACTGATGACGGTGGTGATGACGCAGTCGTCAGTGACACTATGCCTGCTGTCTGTGACATTGTGCCAGGGCTGGGTCGGGTCACACCCTGTGGTGTCTTGGAGCACTCTGCTACCTGTGGAGGAGGATGCGAGTGCTGCTGGGATGGATACCGCAGTGCCAGGCTGCTGTTCCTACTGTTCCTAGGAGCTGTGGTTTACACACACACACACACACACACACACACGCACACACACACACACACATTGTGTGCACCGTCGCTTCTGTCAGAGGACAAAGAGCAACGGGCGAGGAGTGTAGCTGGCTTGTCACAGAATATCGCTCGCTGCCCTCCCCCCCCTAACTCCTGGAGCGTGACATGGAATTCGTTTTTTGTATGATACAAACATGATGTATTTGAAGAGATTTTTTTTTCTTTTTTTCACTCAAACTTCCCGTATGTTTTGACAGCATCATCACATTTGATTGTCCATCATGTAGAATTATGTTACATGTATATTCTGTTTTTTATGGTGGAAGAGATGACATTTATCCAGTGAAGATTGTTTCCAGCATTTCGCTGTAGAACTGTACAGAACTCTATGTTTTAGTTTGTCTGAAATAATCTGTGATGATTGATGTGGTTGGACACAGACTCTTGAGTCCGGGGAACACTCTTTTGGACGTGTTGACTCGGAGACTGTCGTGTTGCTGTCCCGTACACACAGAGGATTGTGAAGTCGCAGAGACGGGACGTTGCCGTGCTGTCGTTCCCAGCAGCGGTCTCGCCCGTCCTGCACTCTTTAATGGTGTAAACATTCTATTACTGTGTTGTTTAGATATTTTGTTAGTAGAGATTTGCGTCGCAATATGACATGGTATTCACCTGTCCATCAGTACTGTACTGTTCAGTGAGTGATTTTCCTCTCATTTCCTCTTGTACAAAATGTTTCTCATTCTACAATTATTCCCCCCGCCCACCCCCTCCACCCACACCCCCACCACCACAAGCCAAGATGATTGTTGGAGGAATGATTGTAGTGACTGCACACACCCTGATGTACTGGGATAGCGTGTGTCATGGAACGAAAGTAGTGTGTCGTGTACTGAGAACAGTATCATGCTGTGTGAGCCACTGTCAGAAGATGCTGATGCGTGTGGCCCTTTGGGATCGACCTCCTTGTTTGTGGAGTGTTGAATGAAGAGTCAGTCCTGTTACTTTTTGAACTGTCAACAACGGTGAAGCAAATGGCATTTGTGCATAGGTAGTCTCTCATCTAACAGAAGACACGGTACATCGTACATCATCGCTTCGTGACTCTTGAATTATGTGACATCACACTGTTTCCATTATGAAATCTTACACATAACATATATATGTTAAGCCGACGTACACTAGAGCGATTGTCACAACTCTATTGATCCCTTTCCTTCTCTTGTGTGTTCACATACATAATGTTACCATTTCATTTGTTGTTTTCTGCGCAGAGATCTATCATGCGTGTACTGGCACGTTTGAGTGTGCAGGTGTGTGCAGCCAGTGGCGTGTTGTACATACGAGCATTTCTACTGCCTTTGTTCATTTGTTCTGTCTTTCTGTTTGTGAGGAGCACTGTATCCACTAGTTGCTACCACTGCAGGGATTTCCTAATGCTCAATCCAGAAAGGATCATGAAGTAATTGTGTTGTGTCATGAGATTTGCTGACAAAGTTCTTTCTTCTTCTCAAATTCTTTCGATTCACTTTAAAGTAAAACTACAAACAAGAAAACCTATTTTTGTTTTCGTTGGCCAAATGTCTTGTGTTAAAATACTGAGTGTAGACATATGCTTGACTACCACTGTGTAGTCTTGGCTCTAAGCTGTGTGGCATTTTGGTTTACATTGACACTTTTTCCTGGTCTTGCATGCAATGCATCTAGATCCAACCAGTTTGGGTTTTTGTTTTTTTTGTTCCCATCAAATCACTCATGTGGACGGTTTCAAGAAATATTTGCATTCATCTGTATGACTATGAGTATGCTTGCAGGTTGTGGATGCGTTCATTAATGTGTGTGTGGGTGTAATAAGAATAATGTGTGTGTATGTGTGTTTGTTAATCTTGTTAACGATCTCACTTTCTGGGGAGCAGCTGTTCAGTGTCTTTTCTCTAACAGTTGTTAATTCTGGGCCCATGTTTTATTTTGTGTGTGTGTGTGTATACAATGTGTGTATGTGTGTTATTCTAGTATTTACTCCGAATAGATTTTGACGGCTCTCCCGAGTGTATAAGGCAAGGAAAGATATAGGCTTCCTCTTCTATAATAAGTTGAACTTTTCCGAAGTTGAGCATCTCATAAAGAGGCTTTTTAGAATGGCTGAGTTTTTCGACTGGTGGAAAGCTACAATGAAATATTACAAATAGAAAGATACTTCTAATTAACTTAATGCTTCGGGTCAGATAAGTCTTAATTTTGTTAAAAATTAATGAAGTTGAGTCTTGTTTTTTTAACTTGAAGGGCGTGTCCTCTGCAGTGTAGTAAGCACCAAAGACTAATTAAAGTCAGAGGACAATCGGCTCTCGATGGCGTAGAATGAGGTGGACAAGCAAGTCTACCAAATCAGTCAAGGAAGTCAGTGCTGAATGCAGGTTTTATGTTTTAATAACAAATGGCTGAAATTCAGCAAGGAAAAAATATCACATTTACTCCATAAATGTTTGGCTTTGAGTAGTTAACATTTTTTTTTAAAAGAGAAAAAATAGCTCTAGGTCAAATTTGGGAACCAACTTTTCATTTTCAGCAATGGACCCCCGATGTTGACCTCTGTTGTTCTGACCTTTGACCTGGTACTCTCGCATAGAGGATATATTCTGTTGTTGTGGCATGCAAGGATTTCTGTTTCTCTTGTTGATGGCTCTACACCACGGTGATTGTTGCTCACTGTTCTACTACTACTACTACCACTACTACCACCACATGTTTTTTATGGTTCTGTCTTTTACTCTTTCTCTGCGGGACTTGTCCTATTTTCCCGGTGTACCCCCCTGTGTGTACCCATGAGTTTACTCGTGCTTTGCACTTGATCAGTATGGTGGAGCCATCCTCCCTCTTTATTTTGCCAGTATGGTCTGTTTTGTTCTCAAACTTTTCTCAGCAACTATTAACACATGAGATACGGCCCTATCAGAGACAGACATTTACTTTTTGAAGGTCCCGCCTCTTAAACAACCTAATGGTTCTAACTTTTAACAGACAACGAACTGAAGAACTGAAATCTGAATAACGATAATTGAACTTTGCACAATGATAGTTTTCTTGACATCCGAGTCTTATTCTGTGTCTAGTGAGATAGCCTACTTAACTTCATCAATTCTCTCTCTCTCTCTATTTACATATAATATTAAAAAGGGACATAGCACAGAAGTGATGTGAGGCAACTATTTGCACCAAGGGAGATTCCCTCTGGACCCAAAGAAGATGAGTAGGACTGTTTAGACACGAGCTGGGCTGAGCCATTTCTTGGAGATGTTGCCTTACTGTAGAAAGGGTTAGAAGAGGACGTTTCAGGTTAGGCCTGCTAGGTTTGTTTCTGCCGTTTCAAATTGTTTCAGTTGGAAGAAAATTGTAAGCATTTGTCCCTGTGAAAAATACCCCGATAGGCATATATATATATATATGTGTTTGTCTACGAGAAAATGGCACTGAAACCTTTGCTCAATGTGAAGTCCGTGAAACTTTTCAACAAACATGGACATATATGCTTTTAAAGAGATTGCATAATAATATTCTCTTTTTGTTCATGGATGGCTGTATTTTTCAAACAATTGTAGTCTTTCTACACGTACAGGACAAAACTGTTTCTTTCTTTCTTTCCTTTGTTCTCAGATGGGCTTTTACTTTCTGGGGACAGTCGAAATGTTCCCCCCTCTTTCCCCCGTCACTTGTAATGGGAGAGCATGCGATGATTTCTATTTGTTCATTTCTCTGAGCTCTCCGAGTTCTTTCTCCATAGTTGAGGTGGACATATCCGAGTCTGTCTGTTGTTGTTTCTTGTTAGCCTTCAAGTTGTGATACACTTCTGTTTCCTTTCTGTTTCTTGTTGAATACTGTAAAAGAGAAAAACTTTTTGATGAAAAATTATTTCCTGGACTGACGGAGGTCTCAGTTTCTTAAAACAGTGTCACTCCCGGTACTTCGAAGTTAACAAGGTTTACTTTAATTCCTTTTTAAAAAAAAAATCTTTCTATTATGTGTACATCTTTGTTACTTTTATATTTCACCTTGTCGTTCCTTACTTGTTGTTATAAAATAGTTTGCACAGGAGGCATGTAAAAATAAATAATCCCCCACCCCCAACCCTACTCCCCGAATCTTTTTCTGAATGTACTATAAATGATGAATGTTAGTATAAAAGTGTACACTTCGCTCCTCTGGCTGTCTTCTGTTCCTTTCAGTTACTTTTACCTTTTGTTTCCAGGTTGTAAGGCCCTCTCATTGTGATAAAGAGCTTCTACTTTCGCTTTACTTCGGGCAAGGATGAGTTGTTTTGTTAAGAGTTTTATTTTTGTTGACTAAACTTACATCGCTTTACTGTGTAAAAACTTTTTTATTCCGATTCCTTTCTTTGTTTTGTTTTTGTCTCTCGTGGCTTGGAGAACTTTGTAAAAGTAAGATGTTATTCCTAAAGAAAGGTACCGTTGTGTTTTGCTTTCTGATTCATTTTTCTGTCAGATTTTTTCTACTCATTCATGAGACAGTCGCAAGACAGGAAATAACACTTTAAGGCCTACCTTCACGATACGCAACTTATAGGGAAACAAAGTTATCTGTGTCCAGCACCGTGTGTTGGTACAACAGTATGTTGTTTGTCTGGTTGATTGAGTCGCTTTCCTGTCTGTTACATGTGCACTACCGGTTTCACTTTTTTGTTTGTTGTTTCAATGAAATAGCTTAAGCCGTGAAAAGTAGATTTTTAATGACTTTCTGGGACGAAGGATGGGTCTCGAGTGTCTTTGCTGAATGATTTAAGGAATTGATCTGGGGGAGGAAAGTGGTGATTGACTAGTTAACATATTTCAGAACAATGAAGAGTGAAGGAAGGTCTCTCGATAAAAGTATTACAGAAAAAGTACAGTGTAACATGTTTGTAGAGGCTATTCAGAAGTCCATAAAACAGAACAGATGTTTAAACTGTGGACTCATCAAAGTTCAAATGAATAGAAGGAAAGATTGTTGATGAGCTGCGCGTAAGCTTTCTCTTGTCGGGTTTCCAAGTTCTTCGGAGTTCCCTTTTACTTTTACTTTTAGTTGATTTGTTTTTGTTTATTAAAGAGGAAAATGTTCATAAGAATGGGAGAAAGCTTTTTAAATACAGTACGTAAAACTCCCATAACACAAACTTCATGGGAGCAGAGAATTTCTTTATGTGTAGGAGATTTTGTGATATATTTTAAAAGGAAAATTGCACGCAAAATAAAGAGGGTATGAAGTGGGGGGGGGGATAATGTTGAAAATCTTTCGTGTGAACAGGAATTTTATGCCAAATTTCATATCAAACAAAGTGTACAACATGTTACTTGTAAGCAGTGGTTATAACATTGTAAATCAATGTTTCAAACTTCAGTACTGGTGTAGTACAGATTTCAGATGTTGAGAAGTCTGATTATAAGCGATGTTGACGTTTATTATTACAGTGGACGTTAGAGGAGTTATGTGCAAATGTGATGAGTTCTGTGAGTGGAAAGTCTGGTTGTGTGTTCGGGAACCTTCATGAGAGCTCATCTTTATCATCATTGTCGGCAAAATCTCGTTTCATGTAGCTCCTTCTCACACTCGCGTGTTGATCTTTCTAGGGAGACTTCTTTTTTCATGTTTGGTCCATACCACGACAAATGTTTAAAAGCATGTACAGAGAGATAAGTTATATTATCATAGCAAGGTATTACTATTAATAGCGTTCTTTGATGTAGTCCGTTCCCGTGATCATGAAATTATTTTAGTGTATGAAGCATTGTAGTTGTAGTTATAATGACTGTTACTCAGGGATGTATGTGCGTGCCTTTGGCTTTGTCCAGGTCCTCTTGTGCTAAATCACACTTTTTTTCTCATCTCATGACCATCAGTCGTCCTAGGTGTGCGTCTTCATCCAGTTGGGTTGGGGTTTTGCCTCAAAGTTATTTTGTTGAGATTTGATTTCCTGACCAACTGCGAATGTGGTGTATTTGAGATCATAGTTTTATATTTTACCCTTTGCTTGATAATTTCAGAGATAGTAATCACAGATATTTGCGCTATTTATGAATCCTTCATATCTTCGTACTCTGTTCCAAATCACAGAATTTAGACCCTATGATGTTTATTTTGAACCATATTATATACTCTCTTTTCTAAACATGTTCAGACAGTGCTTGACATTTGATTTTTCCACTCCTCATCATTTGTTCCCAGTCAGGTTTAGCGTTATGTAGCTTTGTGCTTGTAAGTAGTTCCTGTCTTTGCACATATTATCTTTGTGTTTTGTCTGTGTCTGTGTGTGTGTTCTTTGTCTTTATCTGTTTGTTATTCATCAATTCAAATAATTGTTGGCCTTTCTTTTTTTCATTTTGAAACACACACATTGGAGACTTAACAGACAAAATAGGGCAAAAAAACATCCGACTTCATGTTAGACATTGGAAGACACATGTATGCTTGTCCCTGCATTCACAGTCACACATACTACTACAACGTGCAGATGCTCAAACATTTTATGCCCTCGGTACCGGTACCATAGATTGTGGGTCTTCTTATTGTGGCGGGAGAAGGTGAGGATTAAAACTCTTGTGACAGGAAGTCAGTTTGATTTTCACTATGTGCTGCCTTTCCCGTGGTATGTTTTCCTAAGGATGCAGAACTTAACGAAAACACTGGAGTCCTTGGGATTCAAAAGCCATGATGAGTGGCATTGCCTTCTCGGATCTTTTGTCCAGAAAATGATGAATGACGGCGGTCACACACGTCAGGAAGTAGTTGAGATGCCACTGGTGGTGGTGAGACCATCGTGAAAAGTTTGTTATTCAAGCCATAGATACAGTAGATGAATGGCCATTGGTGTTGGGAAGAAGGATGATTACCAGAGAAGCTCTCTGCCACATATAAGAAGTCCTAAGGAACTCTCGGAGATATTTTTTTTTTAAAAGGAAAACGGATGTATTTGGTAGAATGGTTTGTGATGGGTGTTCACAAATGTTTTCTCTTTACAGTACTTTTCAGCAAATGTTTACAAATAACTGAGGGTAATATGGAAAAGGTAATTCAGACAAAGGAAACTTTATATTTCATGAAGCTCTTTCTAGATAATTTTTTCTTTCTAAATGAGTCTGCAGAACATGCTGAATTATGATTACATGAATTTGTTACAAGGAATTTGTTACCTTAAAGTGAGGGATGTGGGCAAATATGTGTGTCATCCCGGAGCTATTGTGCTGGCTTACTTGGAAGACATTTAAATACATCTGCATGTTTAGATAGCAACAGTGAAGAATAACCCCAGGCCTGATGTAATAGCTCTGATTGTAGTGGAGAGGATTCTACTTGACAGGAGCGTGCGGATTGTCTGCTCATTGTAAGGCTCGCTCAGATGTCACTTTTCGAAATGATGTGCGGCAGAGTCCTTCACTGAGCAGTCCTAATGAGATGTAGGGAAAGTGGGCCTGGGAGTTGTTCTTTACTCGTGCCGTTTCTAGCATCTGTCAGTGAGAGTCACTTTTGTTTCTCAGAACCGGTAAGAAATTGTTATGTTTTGTTGTTACAGATTCCATTGTGATCTTTTCTTTTTTTTTTTTTCCTTCTTTGGTTGAATGTATCTGTTGACAAACCTTGTTAGTTTGGTCTCTGGCCCCCAGCGGGGAGACAGCTCATGTACATACCGTGGCATTGACATCTGTACAGGACTTCAAGTAAACGTTTCATGTATTCTCTCTGCTACTGTTTTGCATCGTGTACATAATTTCATAGCTTTGCCATTACATTCACAAGACGGAACATTTTGACTGTGTATCATGTGTTATATTTGCTGCTAGGTCATTTTGTAAGACATGCATTTTGTGAACATTTTTATTAGAACTTTATTTGGGATTACTTTTTTTTTTTCATTGTTGTCGGATTTATTTTTCAGAGGGGAGTGGGGGAGAAAAAAGTCTGGTTTGTTGTTGTTGAAAAAAATTCCATCATTGTGACTTCTCCTGCTTTTGACTGTAGTAATTTTTTCAAAGCAATTTTATTTGGCCTGGTGATAATTTTTTCTTCTAGAGCTTTCCATGCCTCTTTTGTTGTCCTTTCCCCTGTCTCTCTCTAAGGTTTTTATCCAGTTCCAATATATGTTTTATAATTATAATCCACTTGAAGCAAAATGAGGCCCAGTAATTTCACATAAAGTTTATATGTGTAGCTTTTAGCAGAACTCGATGTACAAAGAGTTCTGGAGATATTTTAAACTTTAGTAGGGAGGAGGTCAAGAAACAGCTGCTGGAGTGGTGTTCTTCATTATTATAAGTTGAATGAAGTGAAGAGAAAGCTCTGTTGTCGAGGCAGAAGTCAGTAACAATCAGCACAGTGGTCCCCCTGGTTTGTGTCTATGGTTTATTGACCAACTAAAATCTGGCCTCGGGTATGATGTGGCCTCCGTGCCCGGTACATAGCCCCGTACCCTGTTTTGAGTGATGGACTTTGCGTCACTTCCACAAAATGCAGTTGACAGCAGGGTGTATGTGGCCAAAGAGCAAGGGTCTGACTGATGTTGATAAGTGAGCTAGTTGTACAGTACCAGACGTGCTAGAACTGATAATGCGAAAAAGAAATGGTAGAAGTAAAAAGAACTAGTAGCCTCTCGTTTCTTATCCGATGTTTTGTAATGGAGGTAACATCTCCTGTGGTATCCGCATAGACCGCTAGCTCTTGTCAAAATGCCTGGAAGCATGTGCCGAGCAATTTCTTTTTAGATGTTGTTTGGAGAAAAAGTATAGTTTTATACTAGGAAAGGTTCTGATAACATGCACTGTAGTATACTGGTAAGCTGGAATGTAATGCCCTTTCCAGTGGGAACAAGGATAGTAAACAGTTTCAAGTGCAAATTTTGTTTCTGCTGTCCTGTTGCATCAAAAGCAAAGGAAAGGGAGGGACTATATAAAGTGTGTAAGTGTACATGTAGTATGTACATTTTATCTTTCCTTTTTGTCTGAAGACGTGGCTCGTCACTGAGGAAAGTGGCCAAAATGTCAGGTTGTTTTCTTTCGTTCACTCTTCTAGAAAGGTAAGAACATCGCACTGTTGTCATACAGTTACATTTTAGTGTTTGTTTTTGTTTGAGTTTTTTTTTAATGATTTGAGAATCATGATTTGATTTGCTTGATACTGTATTTACTCATGTCCTAGAGACATTTGCCATGTTATTGTTTGAATGATTTCATCATCATCATCATCGTCGTCACAACATTTGTCATCGCAGCATCATTGTCGTTCTACATTGTTTGGCCATTTCACATCATGAGACATTCAGCGAGTGTACTGATGTATTAGGCAGTCAGGCTGCTAGTTTTCTCTCTCTTTCCCTCTTTCTCTCCATCTCTTACTTGGGTTTTTTTGTTGTTGGAGTTTTTAAAAAGTTTTTTTTGTAAACCGACCCCTGTCAAAGTTTTAATGTTTTAGATACATAAACAATAAACATCTATACAAATGTCCTCTTGAGGGATTTGAACAGTTAATACTCAACAGTAACTCTTCCACCCACCACCCACCCAAATCCTGTCACTGAACGGATAAAGTATATCCCATGAGAACTTTGTTCTCTCCTTCTCCCCCCCATCCTTCACTATTTTCTCTCTCCTTCCCCATTCCTCTTCTCGATTTCTCTCAAGTTACTTGCTGTCTCTCTCTCTCTCTCTCTCTCTCTCTCTCTCTCTCTCTCTCTCTCTCTCTCTCTCTCCCTCCCTCCCTCCCTCTCTCTCCCCATTTTTCTCTTCTATCTATATATATGTTATGTCGCGCAGGTACACTCGCTACGTCTGGGTTTTTTTCCGATGATTTTTATTGTGAAGGCAATAAAAGACATTGTATGATATAGAGTGAGTTTCCTCTTGATTTTATTTGTGCTCATTATTTTGTTATTGTTGCATTTTTAGGCAGTAGCAGAAACAATTTTATGTGTCATTTGGAATGGTGACAGAGAACAGGAGAAGTTTTCATTATTCTGTCCATTGTATTTAATGAATGGCACTCATATATATATAGGCCTACTTTACACACTGTATGGAACATCACAGCAACCGCACCAAACCAGCACATATCACTACATATAAAACCTGCACGTATCACTACATATAAAACCTGCATGTATCACTACATATAAAACCTGCACGTATCACTACATATAATGGCACTAAACAGAAGGGTGAGAGCCCAGCTGTTGCTGGATTGATAACAACAATAATATATGTGTCACAACGTGGTGGAATCAGGCGCTCGTCAATTTTTGAGCATATGGAGTTTTTGGTATCATCTTTAAGCGTGTTTATTTGTCTTGCTTTCGATGAAAAAATTATCCATTTGTGGCGACTGACCTTAAGACCAAATTGTTGAGGTGTGTTGTTGTTATGTGTAGTACGTCGCACTTGAGTTCATGAGTTACAGTTCAGTGAAAGTGTCCAAGCTGTTCGGGTGGAATGTACGAAAGTTATGTCTCGTCCTGCAATGACTTACATGTGTGTGTGTGTGTGTGTGTCTCTTCATGCTACACATTTATCTTTAATAGAAGACGAAATATTTTGGATTGAAGGAAGTAGAGGACACCTGTTTTCAGAGGTAAAAATAAGAGAGAAAATGGCCGCCGAAGTTTGGTGACTTCCAAAACTTGAGAGACCTTAATTAAAAACTGTAAATTTACATCGTTTGTGCCTTTAATCAACATTTTTCAGTAAAGGCCACACAGCAAATTGTTTGTAAATGGACATAAAAGGTGTTGAGTCAAAAATTCAAAATTCGACAAAAATTGTAAATTGGCAGAAAAATGATGTTTTCTTCGATTTCATTATTTTGACGAGCTCCTGATTTCACCACGTTGTGCCACATAGAAATATGTCTTTTCAATGACATGTTGGCAGCACATAATGTAGGAGCCACTTGAGACTCGATTTGTTGCTTTTAGATAACTGGACATGACACCAGATTGCTGGCCAGTCTTACAACTTACGATCTTTAACACTGTACACCCTGGGGTCATTTTTTACCCCAGGGTTGTATTCTTCACATTTTAGAAGTATTCTAGAATGAGGATCTCTTTGAACATTTCAGTATTTTTCAAAAATTAATTTTGACAGACTGCTACGCAAAGCGCACAGATCGGATTAATGAGTAAATCCTCTTTGGAAAGTGGTGGCACAGAGTTCCTCTCGTCGTATGGATATGATAGTAAAACACGACGCAAGGATAGGTTTAATAATTACACACACATTCCTCACAGACCTAAAATATACTACAAATTCAAATATAAATGTTCAGAGTTGAAGCGAACTGCACAGTTTGTGAGCGACATCGGACTGTCTAGCTGCTGTCATCGAGAACGAGGAAGAAATACAAATGTAACAAAGGAAAAAATTTGAGGATTCATTTTGTGTAGCACAAATTTTAATAATCAAGAAGAACGTATTGTAATGACAAGGATAACAATTATAATGTATGGTCGCTTTTAAGCACAAGGGAGCTATCCCGAAAAGTGCTGTTTTTGAGAAAATCTAAGGTAAAGTTTTTGGACCCTTGTACAGTTTCTTTAAAAGACAAGGCGAGTTTTTCTCTGTAACCAAACAAATATACACACCAATGAAACCAAACTTCTCCTACAGGACGGGAAATGCCCATTTTTGGTGTAGATCAAGATTTTCTAGAAACCCCAGAAATCTGGGTTAGCCCGCTTGTCCTTAAAAGTGACCATATATAAAGATTCTTCTTATTATTACTTTGTAAAAGAGGGAAAAAAAGATACTGCCATATGCCATTTTGAAAAGTGACCTGAGACAGTTTAGTTTCAGTAAGAGTTTTATGCCACTTGCAACATAATATGGTCATATTAGTGCCGAAGGTTAGAGGTGTTACAAGACAGTAACAAACACAAAAAAGGAGGGGAGATCAGGATAGACGTTTGACAGGAAAGAAGGAGAAAAACCAAAACAGAGCACCCACCAACCACCCACCGACCTATGACAGTCATTCATATATATATATATATATATATATATATATATATATATATAATATAATATAATAATAGGACTGAACAAACCATATCAAGACAGAACATCTACCAAGGAACAGACAACCTAAACAAATTGTAAGTTCTATACTAGGAAAAACTGAAACAGATTCTGATTGACAAAGAAATTAAAATGTCGGTTAAACTTTAAAACTTTAAACACACTTTGACGAGATTCTATTTTTTTTCTCTTATTTTTTTTTTTCTTTCTATCCTTGACAAGACACACCCTAAAAAGCAGAGATCACACACACACACACTTATATAAATATGTACTTATGAAGGATTTAACATTTTAGTTAGGATTTACGACATTTGCAACACAAATGGGTTATATAAAGTGCTGAAGATTAATGGTGTTACTAAAGAGTAACATTAATGGAAAAAAAGAAAAAGGCATAACGAATGTCGGACATGAAGGAAGGAGCAAACCACACTAGAAGAACACCTGCTTACCACACACAATAAAAGGCTCTGTGACAAAAAGGGGATGTCTACAAATGTAGCAGTTAAAGTGAAAAAAGTTTAATTACTTGAAACACAAAATTATATGCCTGGCATGAAGAAAAAACTGATTCAAATTGTGGACCTACAAAATCATTGGTTTCAGCATATTTTGTGACCAAATAGAATATATACAGTATTTGCAGTATATACAGTATAACATGGGTAGGTCGAATACAGATGACTTGAAATCACTCATCCGTCGAAATGTGTCTGCAGACTGCAGTCCCCTTTTTAAAAATTTCTTCTTTATCTTTGTAAGATATCCCTCAAACTACGGGTTCCTCAAACTACCCAGGCTGGTCCTGACGAATTTGAGCTATCCGTGTTATACTGTATAAAAGTAAAGATAAAAGATCCTACTACATGTATTACTCGTAAAGTAAAGGGGCAGTAGAGGTAACCTACTTTGTCCCAAAGCCTGCATACGTACATAATACGTGTAATGGACTTGAGAGAGCTCATTCAATTTCATCAATAAATAAAATAAATAATGTCCTGTTGGAAGAAGAAATAAGTTGTCACTAAAATGACAATAAATAATATATATATAATGCTACCTAAACCGGAGTTTACATGAGCTGGAATTGATAAGTGACAACTCAGACAATACCGAATGAGCATAAATTATGTTAATAAATATATTTGACTTTTGAGACTGTGATAGTGATATGTGAATAAATAGAGGGCAATTTCCAGATTGAACTCATAATACATAACTTAATCTATATATAGAATTTCCTGTATTTTCCCCTTCAAAACTCACATCATTCCCCTCCTCACCCGAATGTCCAAACTAGCTGATCATCAATTCCCATCAAAAGCCAAAAACCAACTTTTCTGTGATGGGAACCGTAGATGACTGAGTGTTAAAATTGAGTCCCCTCTCAGGACCAGAGCGTCAAACAAGAAGAGATGAACTTCACGTACATGCACCTTCATTGATTGCGGAAGAAAAGCCATAGTGAATAGAAAGTGTTATTATCTCGATGTCATGTTACAAAAAGAGGCGCGAGGGGAAAATCAGCCAAGGCCACAGTCGTATAAAAAAGCACTACTTGGTACATAGCGTGCAACCGACCATTCATGTAATGACATAAAGTGCACATGCATTACCAGAGGCACTCACTCATAATACTCATAAAAGGGAAAGTGTTATATTATCATCTGGTGTCCAGTAGTATTTCACTATTTTTTACTTTCATCACAGGGCTCAGGAACCAAGCCTAACTTGTCAAATTATACACACTTGACTTCATGACTAGATCTATATCATAAATAAGTGCTTATAACAACAGGAAGCACAAAAGTGATTTATGAGAAAAGTTAAGTTATCCCAGGCACTCGTCCTAAACGCAAGCCAAGACCTTACTTTTGCTGAACATAATACACATACAGTCAAACCTCGTTATACCGCCAGCCCCACTTACCGACAGGTTTAGTGAATATACGAAAAGGAATGCCTATATAAAAATAGTATTTTCCCCTTTATACTATACCACCATCTGCAAACGGGGTTGCACAGTCCTTGTAAAGAAACCCTACAATACCACCAGCAAATTGGCTGCCACAGGCACACACTGCACACAGCGCCTCCACCCACTCAGTGGCTACTTGAAAATCTCTGTCCCACACACAGTAGGCCAATGTCTCTGCAAGTCCGACCTGTTTAAAGCATTTTTTGACGATTCGCTCCTGATTATGAAAATATTATTTTTAGGCTTTGGCCAATACGTCAAATAAAAAATGGGAATTAAATTTTAAAGTCACCAGGAGTAACTTCAAAGGAACTGCATCACCTGGGCCTGTCGGTGAAACATTTGGCTTGGGTAGATATCATCTTGATTACCGAAATGCTGGCCGGTCCCGTAAGGCTTTTATATTGTGAGGACTCAAGCCAAGGTATACATAAAAGGTCTGAGGTAGCCTGATGACTGAAGAGTAAAGTAAAGTAAAGTTGTTCCCGCATCCGATCTGGCCTTGTTAGTGAAAACTTCCTGGGCTTTCGGCATATTGTGGTACGCTGGCCAGTCAACTGAAGAGTATTGAGTATAAAAAACTACATGTAGCCTAGCTTCTGATCCGGCAAAAATTTTCAATTGGAATTCACATGAAGTTCAGCTTGCACTGTACATTCAATTGGTTGCCACTCGTTCTTCTCCTGTACATCCTAATCACACAAGACAGATCTAGATAAGTCAAGACCGGCCATAATTTGTTTACCACTAGTCAAGATGGAAATCGGTGCTAACATAATACACCGCCAGCCCCACTACCACAAACTTCATGCTCGTCCCAAGGTAGGCAGTTCAATGGGGTTTGACCATATTGACTATACAAGACGCCCTTTGCTACAATGTGATTGTTGTAACCGAATGCCTGAAGTTTTATCACAATTTACATTAAGCTTTCTCTCATAGTGCATTGCTAATTGCTATTCATATCCAAAAGTACTGGTACATGACATTGATACAATTCATGTTCAAATACATACACATAATGATGTCAGTTAGGCAGGGGTTTAAATAACAGGCATATATATACAAATGTATTGGTAACGCGAGCCGTAGGATAGAATATAGGCACAAAGTTAAAAATGTAGCAGCATGACAAAATGAGTCACTCAGTTTTGAGATATTGGGCAAAACATTGATTTTTCTCAAAATTGTTTGTTTCTGACTCCCCGACTGTAAGTGTTTATAATGTTGGAACGGAAGCAATCAGACTATACTTGTTTCCATCCGCTTATAGTTGGAACAGCTGGAGCAGGTTCTTAATCTCGTACCCAAAGTGTACTATAGTCCAAATGTGACCGGTGATTCATTTTATCATACTGCTTTATAAATAATAAATATATCACGTTATCTGACGGGGAATCACAGCACATAAAATCCACCCCAATAGCACAATAAATAAATATACTGAGAGCATGAGCGCAGTTACAGACAGAAAGCTTCCACGTCTCAGTTTGTTTCATCGCTGGTAACCCAAATCATTTTGAGAACCTGTTTGGCTGTATGGAGACCACTCTAACATGAGCCCCACCCTTTGACATTCCTTTATACTTAGCAGCATTAAAACACCTGGACTAGAATACTGAACAAGATCACAGTGTTTTCCCGCAGAAATAAACATCCTTTACATTAACAATTTTCAGGGTGGTGGTGTGTGGCCACAGAGGTGTAAGACATTCACAATAAATATATAATAATGCTATCAACAGGATCATAATATTCAGAGAAAGCATCCCTCTTCAATTAAAATATTCTGCGTAACATGGCATTTCATTTAGCTTGTATATAAAAGACTGCTGCCTTACCACTGAGCAGAGTGCACTTTCCCCACGGTGATACCATAAAATAAAGTACCGGGTAATTAAATCAATTACCTGCAACCCTTATATATATATATATATATATATATAATAATATATAATATATCAGTATTAACAAAGAAAATATCATAATGGAAAGCTCTGTCTTTTGCTAGATCTAGACATACATGAAGATATTAGAATAGAGGAAGCTCAGGAAGAAAGCAACTTGTAGTAGTTGTAGACTCTGACAGTAAACAACTGCATCTTTCGCATTCACCTCCCAGCAAATCAGCCACACGTGGATCTTCTCAGGGAGGGTTTCTCTATCCTCCTCCGAACTGGGAGTTTTTTTCCCAGGCTTCTAGCTTTTTTTTTTTTTGCAGGTGTTTTAAGCGCTCGTCAACACAATTCAGATAATTTGTGAGGCCGGCTTCGACCCTGTCTGTAAGAACCAACTGGACTGGGAGGGATACAACAATTAACAATTGCTTTACTGCTACACCACAGACACAGGTCTTCTGGATCTGATAGAACCTGCAGCTCAAGGTTGATCAAAGTCAAAGCAAAAGACCTGTCCAAAGTCCAATTCTTCACACCCCACAGCCAAACCTTGGGGTTATACTAGTAATTTATGTAGCTCGAGGCTCATGCTCACAGAGACGTCATGTGGATTTCAGGCTGTTTTCACAATAAAAGGTGAAGTTTCCAGAGTAGGAACAGAAAGGGTCATAAACAAACATGACAAAGCCAAAATCAATGCAAAAAAAGCAATTAAGTTTTACAATTCAATCACAATATCATATTATTATACGTAGAACAGTGCAAAGCACCTGGTATGTGAAAAACACCCAGATAGACCCACATATTAATATATATATATATATATATATATATATATATATATATATATATATATCTCAGCTGCCTCTTCAAACACACCACTGAGCTCGAGCTGGAGCAGCATGCACTCATTCTTATACGGGAGGAAACTGAGAGCACATCCAGCAGAGAACAGCCATACCCGTACCGGTACAAATACAAGGCATATGTGAGGCATTGTGGGGAAATCAGGCGCTCGTCATAATAATGAAATCGAATAAAACTGGAATTTTTCTGTCCCTTTGGCAATTTTTATCAAATTTTTGCTTTTTGACTCAACACCTTTAAGGTCCACTTAAAAACAAATTTCTGAGGGGATTTAATTGAAAAACATTGACTAGAGGACAAAAAAATGTAAATTTTCATTTCCAAACGGCTCTCAAGCTATGGAAGTTACCAAACTTTGGCGGCCATTTTCTCAATAATTTTACCTCTGAAATCAAGTGATTCTTTCTTCTTCAATCGCAAATATTTCGACTTTGATTCAACATATGGATATTTTTTTCACCAAAAGGAAGGCAAATGAACAGGCTTTAAGATGATACCAATAACCCAATATGCCCATAAATTGACGAGCGCCTGATTCCACCACGTCATGACACAGGTATGGGGGAAAAGTGAAAATGGACATAAACAACAGAGGGATAATAAACAAGACCTTTGTCAGGTCAGTATCAGAGCCCTTGAGCCTGCAATTTTTTTTTAAAGTTTATTTTCATTCAAGTAAGTAGACGGAACAAAATGCCATAACTTTTTTTCACTGCCTCTATATATTACAAATATATATGAAACAATCATTTTTAACATGGAAATAAATAAGAAAAAAGAAAGAAATTCTTCAGCAGATAAAAGTATTGCACAAATTATAAAACAGGCTAAGCCTTGCACAGCCCCCCCCCCCCCCCCCCCCTCATTTTTTAGTCCAAATGAAGACCTACATAAGCTTTAAGCATTTCTGGAATGGGGAGCATTGCTATGGCAGAAGGCAAGAGGGTATTGTCAGCTTGTAAGATCTGCTCTCTAATTACAAACTTGCAAATGCTCAGCAAGGATGGAAAAGGAGGAGTGTGGCCTATACCCCACTCCTCAGCCACATGGCGGTTCAATTCGGTGGGTTCTCTTCCTCCACGCCAAACACCGCAGGCTTTGGAGACATTAGGTCGCAACATTGATCTTTTCAGTAATGGTAGATAGGTGCTGATTTGGAACACAAAACTGTCTATGTGTTCCGAGATATCATTACCACATTTACTTAGGAACTGCTCAGATATCAACAGGGTGTTAATCATGGTGACCATCTTCTCCTCCGCGGTTGACAAGCAGTCTGAATCATAATCAAAATAGGAGGCCTGCAGGGAAGCACCTCTGTGCACTAGGAGGTGAACCAGTTCAGCATCGTGGAACATTATTCCCAGGGTAAGTAGAGGATAGCTTCTATAAGCAGAACTAGTACACGTGTTATCAAAAGGCCTTTCTAACAAAGTTTTGAGGTTGAAGGAATCTGGATGAGCATGATCCCCTTTAGCATGGAGAGGTCTCAGACGAGTTATCAGATACTTAAGATAAGGGGCAGAACACTTGTAAAGATCCTTCGGCAAAACTTCACGTGTTCTGCCCTCTGCGAATATCATTGAGAAGTACTCTTTCGTCATTAAGGAATCAAAAAGAGAGCTTGAATTGCTCCACAACAACAAAGTATACAGTGTTAAACTCATTCCTGGATAAAAGTTGAACATAAACTCCAGACTGCCAGTGCACTTGATAATTTCAGCCACAATCACGGAGACAAGGTCATCATCCGTAACTTTCAAGTAGAATCCCAGGCGTAGTAAAGGATACAGACATCTGTTCAGAGTGCAGCCATTGGGCTTCATATTTATCCAGGGCTGCAGCTTCCTATGTTTTTGGACTAAAGCACTCACATAAGACGTCCACACAAACCTGTCTTGTCCCACTTGTTCTTTACAGTTGTCATGGTAACGTGCCAAACACTCCCTGACATCGTGGTAATGGCTCAGCGAGAAACAGCACACTGACCTGTATTTTCGCGGAGGGACCGCTCTACCCCGTAACACTCTGCGCTCCCAGTCCAAGACCCATGTTCTGCAGTTCCATTCCAGATCCAGTGTCGAAAAAACTGATGTTTGTTGCAATTTGTGTCTTGGCTGTTCTTCGAAATTTTGAAAGTTTAATACTTCTGGAACGCCAAGGCGGAGTGGCATCTGAGACCTAGAGGACAAAAAATAAACTTAGCTATTACAGCGAGCGAGAGCGAGAGAGCGAGAGCGAGAGAGCGAGAGAGCGAGAGAGAGCGAGAGAGAGCGAGAGAGAGAGCGAGAGAGAGAGAGAGAGAGAGAGAGAGAGAGAGAGTTAGGAGGCGGGGGGAGGGGGAAGAACTACACATGATTTTGACCTCATAGTCCAATAGTTTATATCCATTTCATTTTTTATTAAGTATAAAAATGTTGCAAAGTAAAATTAGGATGAGAGTTTAAGACAAGAGAAGAGGAGGATTTACTTATGGATAGGAGACGCAATATTGTTATAGTATATCATTTATAACATTTGCAATTGAACAGACCACATCGTTCAAGGTCATGTGCCACCCGCTTAAAGCAGCTCAGAGACCAAGCTATTTTATTAGCTTATCACGCCACTGAGAGATGTAGCAGAAGGATTTAAAGTGCGTGACTCACAAAAGATGAAAGATGACAATAACTTCACTTCACATAATCATTTGTCTAATAAAAAAACAAGCTAGCTAGGGTTTCACCACATGTACTAATCTCATTTGGCATGATTGTGACCTGATTTAAGGAGAAATTTTATTCTAGTCGCAAAGCCCATAAGCAACACTTTCATACTTTCTCTAGCTTCGACACAGAACAAGGAGCACCGATCTATACATTCTTCTATCCTTCATTTTATCGAATCATATATGTGAAGCGTGCTGACAAAATGAGTCACTTCTCAGAATTGAGCCCTATGGAAATCGGTACATCATGCTTATAGATGAAGTTTTTACAATTTATAAGTATGAAATAATAAAACCCATCATGTAATACTTAAATAATATATGGCATCGATAGAAAATCTACAAATTAGTTCCTAGTGTTGATTTTTGGCCAATTTCTCCATTTGTGGATTGCGAGAAGAAACTCATTTTGTCAGCACGCCTCACATGATATAACAGATACCTTTTGTAATGGCAGAGAAAAGAAAACCAATCTGACAGTATAAAAGAAACCACGTGTCAAATGTTAATGGATGTTGACATGAAGCCGTGCCAATAAAACCATAAATTATGAGAGATTTATGATCCCCAAAAATCAACACTTTATACACAAATTCTAAAATCCAGATTAAATTTTATACATATATATATGTATTATATATATGTATGTACCAACATTGGATGTCAACCCGACAGAAAGCAAGTGCACTTTGCCAAATTTGGAGAACATTGAGCTGGCATTATTTCAATGGTTCCAGCATGTAGGTGACACGTCTTATTTCTGATCCTTTTCTGATAACAAAAGCAGACGAAATCGCAAAGAAACTTGGCCTTTACTTTAAATGCGTACACAGGATAGTTGGACTGCTTCAAAAAGAGACACAGGATTATCACTTAAACAGCTGTGTGTGACAAATCTGCAACTGATGGTGAATCCGTTTTACAGCAAATTATTTTCTAACTGCTGTGTGGTACACATTAACTTGATTTTTCTCGTAGATCTTTCAAATTTTTGGGGGGGGGTTTTGCTTGACCAAAGTTATGGTGTTGAACACACAGGGAAATCCCTGCTATGTTTGAGTTATAATCCATTTATGCTGGATCTATTCTAGACGTTATAATACAGTGGATCTTGGATTCAATGAGAACTCGGATTCAATGAAGGGAAATGGATTCCAAGTTTTTTTCTTCTTCTTTAAAATCAATAAAAATGACCCTAACAGTAACAGAGTCAGCTGTGTAATGTAGGGCCTAGCCTCAACCTTATAAAAATACAAATATTCAAAATATTCGGCCTCTATGAGTCTGAGTATTGTATGTGGGTCAATGTTGAAGTACCGTGCCGTAGTGGCATAGTAGTGCAGTCCATGCCGGCTTTAAGCACGGTCATCGGGAGAAAGCTTAAGCGTGCTTAAAGCCGAAGCGTGCTTGAGTGCGAAGTAGACATAATCCAGAGATTTTCATGTAGAAAATTTCCCGTTCTATTTTCCTTTGTTTGTAAGCAGGCCTGTAGCAGTCCTGCAAAAGTGTGCACGTTTTTTTGGTATTTTTTTACTTTCCCTCCCGTCTCACACTCAGCTACCAGTTGTCTATTTTCTACTAAATATTGATGCGCTGAACACGAATATCAACTTCATTTCCGTCGCAAATTAATGGTTTTCGAAATATTTGATTGTTTTTAACCGAGATAGACATGCTTTGGACCAATCGGGGGGTTCCAGGGGGGCCTGCCCCACTGGGGTAAAAGAAAATCTGGGGGGTTACAGGGGGGCATGCCCCCCTGTTTTTACACCCATAATTTGATATTTTACAGTTAGATTTGAAATTGTCTTGAAAATAATTGATTTGCGACAGTTTTAGTGGCTTTATGTGTGATCTGCAGCAAACAGTACAGCAGTTTGACCCCTGAAACAGTGCATCTGTGTGCGGGAGTGAAAGTAAAAATTTACCGGTTTTTTTACCCGCCATGGTAGTTTTTGCTTGTTTGTTTTTGTTTTGTGGTCGAATGGGAAATGAAAACTTAATTTAGACGGCCAGTCACGATACAGCACACTAGGCCTACACACTGCCTGTGCGTACCACTGCCTGCTGTGCCGCATTCATACCACTGCCTAATTCATCCCCCACACAGTCTTTGATCCCACCTCGCACGTGATACACAATCAGGATTAATGGATAGCGAGGGTCAAAGGGGAAATCGAAGCCAGCCTCCCTTTCTCGTCTCCCCGACTCTCTTTGTATTTTTTTGTTGTCTGTGTGTAGCTTTGCCCTAGGCTAGATCCTATGTCCATGTGCGTGGCTGTGTGCATCTCTCTGCCATCCTCTCTGCCCGTGTGAGTGTGTGTCTCCATCATTTGCGTTCTTTGTGTTTCTCTTAACTTAACACACTCCACTGATGGGGTGTAGACTATTTGAACGTCGATGGGTCATCATAAAAGTATTGACTGTCTTGTAAAGAAGCGTGCCTGAAGCCGATTAAGTCCGAAACATGCTTTATGCCGGTGTGCTTAAAGCCAGCACAGACTGTACTGTAGATCTAGTAGCGTAGAGTAAGTAGCAGTAGCCAGCACACATATAATGTAGGCCTATATTATATCATAGTATAGGAGGCCTAGCTACATCTTGATCTAGATATCTAGATCTAGATTCTAGATCTCTATAGATCTATTAGATCTAGATCTAGATTCTAGATCTAGATCTAGATTCTAGTTTTAATAATAGCCTTATAATTCTGTAAACACACAACACAAACTGTGACAGGGAGGGAGTGTGAAGTGAGTCAGACTCAGATAGATCTAATCTAGAATCTAGTTTAGAAGACGAGTGTAAAACAGACATAATTGGACAACAATCGTTTTAGACGTGACACTTACAACATCCTTGTATTGACCGGTACGAATACAACACTCTGAGGCCTGCCGAAAGATTACCAAGTTGAAACCATGATCGAACTTGTCAAGTCTGGCCTCAGTGCGCTGCTGGTCCACACAAAGAGGTGTAGTTGCTTTGTTTGTTGACGTCTGTAAATGATTCAAGTTTTTATTTTCCCGAGTAATCAGAGGAGCGGTATCGTTGGAGATATATAGTGATTGTAATCGAGTAGTGTATTTCTGAATCTGATTTCTCTCTATTGCAAATGCAAATAGGCAAGTGCGGTCAACATTTCGTGGTGCGATTTATTTTCAAATATTTCCTTAATAAAATAATACTAATAAAAAATCCAAGTGGGGTTTCTACTGATTTTTTAATGTTTACAGCTGGGGCAATATAGCTTTTAATAGCATGTCCGTCAGATTTTTTCGGGACATAATTATGCTTATAGAACGCATGTTTTGAGAGACATAAGTGCAAAAATGTGTTCATTATAACAATAATTTATTGTAACAATTTTTGCAAGTAAAAATTGTCTTTGATGAGCTGTGACGTAGGCCATAATATAAATAATTATATTGTTGATAAATTTAAAAATATAGGAGAAGATATTTTTTACTTAAAGCAAATAACCAAACAGCAAAATCTATCATTAAAGTAAAAGCACCATATTCACGATGGTGTAAATCTGAGCCATCATAAAATAATAATACTTTAAGATTTAAGTATATACATGAACATATATCACTAAAATAGTTATCTGTTTATAAAAAGTTATGATGGTATGAATCTGAGACATCATAAAATTATGATATTTAAAACTTTTTGATACCGTCAATTGCTAAAGTAAAGGATAATATTATCCAAGATGAAGTTATTATAGTTTTTAAAAAAAATATGAACAAGAGTTACAAAGTAGCCTACTGAATTCTAGCATTAAAAATGGAAGTAAAAATAGAACCCAAACCATTTCCACTAATTATTACTTCATCAAATAAAACAGATTTTAATATTACTTTTAATTCTTCAAAGTATTATGATTCACCTAGAGAATTAACTCTGCATTATATAGCTACTTATTATGCAATTCCACACCTCATTAATGCAAACATAGATATTAGTTATGTAGATAATGCTGTCAATAGGTCATTAGAAATTAATATTCCTATAGAGCTTATGAAATATCTAATATAAATTAATAATTATATTGTTGATAAATTTAAAAAAATATAGGAGAAGATAGTTTCTCATTAAAAAAACAAACCAAACAGCTCAATCTGTTATTAAAATAAAAGAATAAAAGCCCCATATTCATGATGATGTAAATCTGAGCCATCATAAAAAAATAATACTTTATAAGATTTAAGTAATATACATATATCCTTAAAATAGTTGTCTGTTTATAAAAAGTTATGATGTTATTAATCTGAGACATCATAACATTTTGATACTATAAATTCCGACAACTTATAGATTAAAAGATACAAAATGAAAAGTTGTTATTGTTTTTGGGTTTTTTATCTGTCCCCGTCGTTTTATGCAAGAAAAAAATCTTAAATTATACAAACTGAGCCCAAAATTGTGAAATTATGCGATTCAGTTCATTTTAACAAAGAATGATAAAGGAAAATAATAAGAAATTATGCAAAAAATGATCAAATTTTGCCAAATTATGAGGGGTGCATAAAACCACGGGGACAGTTTTATTAACAAGAGTTACAAAGTACTAAATTTTAGCATTAAAAAAAGAAGTAAAAATAAAACCCAAATCGTCTCAACTCATAATAATTATTACTTCCTCAAATAAAACAGATTTTAATATTAATTTTAATCCTTCAATGTATTATGCTTCACCTAGAGAATTAGCTCTGCATTATATAGCTACTTATAATACAATGCCAAATCTAATTAATGCAAAAATAGATTTAAGATATGTAGATAATGCTTTTAATAGGTCATTAGAAATTAATATTCCTAAAGGAGCTTATGAAATACCGGTATCTAATATACATTAATAATTATTTAGTTGATAAATTAAAAAAATATAGATCTAGGAGAAGATAATTTTTCACTTGAAAAAGATTAAAAACCTTTTCGCACAGTGCGGCTTTTGCCGTGCGCATTCCCTAAGAACGCCATTATTTTATGTGCGCTATTCCCTGGAAACGCGCTATTTTGGGGTGTTTTCAAAGAAATATATCTCAACAGTTTTAAATCGTAGATGTTTGTATTTGATGTTAAAGTAAAGTTCAAATCTTTGTCAACACAAACATAGTTTTTAGGACCACATTCACTTTCTTTGACAAAAGTCGTCAACTGTACAAAAGAGTGTATGAGGCTGAAAAAAAGAAGAAAAGTTTTCAAAACAAATTCTACACCCCGATACACACACTAAACAGTTCAATGGTGTTTCTTCAATGATCTTAGCGCCTGTTCAGACAGGCGTGATCCATGATAACTATAATTCTAATAAAAATCAATAGAAAAATCAACCTGACGAGTGAAAAATGTGCTGTTCTGAGCAGCTTTATGAACAGCTCAATATACTCAAGCTTCGGATGAGTCAGCTGCTTCTTTCGGTTCAGAGTTGAGTTGTACACCTCAAAGCAGCCAGGATAGAGTGCAACTTTGCAGTTTGAGCCCTAGTGATATGTCATTTTCTTTTGGCATTTTCTGTTCACGGCCGACATCCCAGCTCTGTGCACATTTCCTACTGTCAGATTTACCTGACCCGATGATCACATCCACCAGCTAGAGTACCTATTTCTGGACATTTGCCCTCTGTTCCTGCTGGGTGTTTTCTCAAGAATAAGTCTAGATGTTACCAAGTGGTTCCAACACTTCATCAACTTACGCTCGCAGGAAATGCGGGTTCTCGTAGTCTAGAGGTAAGGAGTTCGCCTCTCATTCTACAGGTCCCGGGTTCGAAACCTGACAGTGACGGAAAATGTTGTTCTCTGGAAAAAATTGTATCCTTTCGCCTTCTTTTCTGCTCTCTGATCATGTTCTTGCGTCTGATTTCGTCTCCACTTTCTGCCCTATCCACGCTCTACCCCTTGCCTCTTCCTCTGGACTCTTTCTGCTGCCTTTCTACTGCTTCTCCTTGGCTCCTTCTTATTGCTGTCTTTCAGCTACACCCCTGATCGCAGGGCAGGTAAGATCTAACACTTAGTCTTCTCGGATAAGGACGAAAAAATCCCGTGTGCAGGTTGCGCACGTTAAAGTTCCATTGGTGATCCTAAAATCGATAACAGGAGGCTGCAGACGCTCCCTGGGCAAGGTTCAAAATTAATTCCTACCAAACTGACAATGTCCTGCGCGTCCATGACCTAGTGCATCTGCGAGGGTCGTAAGACATTTATCCCCCCCCCCCCCCCCCCAAAAAAAAGGAAGAAGGAAAAGTATAAAATTGTTCACCTGAATTATCTATGCCGGACATGTTTTGATCAAGTGAATAACGAAAAGGCGTTTCTCCTCTCTTTGAAACCGACCTTACGTTCCTTGAAGTTCCGACATTTGAAAAGTTCAAAGAGAGACAAGGTTCTCTCTCTCTCTCTCTCTCTCTCTCTCTCTCTCTCTCTCTCTCTCTCTCTTTCTTTCTATCTCCAGTACATCCTTGAGTAAAGACAATCCCACAAGGCTTACCCAGACACCCTCGCACACATTGATGAATTCACAGTCATACATTCTTACAGAACAGAACAGCGTGAATAAACGATACTGAGAGAACATAAAAGGTACTGAGAGAAAATAATAATATTTGTATTGGGAACGTTGGAAATTACAGATTGAAGCTGGACTGAAACAAATGCGTTTTAAGTGCTGATTTAAATTTTGATAAAGTGGTGGACTCCCGTAGTTGAGCTGGTAAAGCGTTCCACAAGGAGGGGACATGGTGTGAAAAAGCTCTCCCTCCGAGTCTCTGACTTTTGCTTTGGACAGGTCTTAAAAGTCTTTTCGTCGCCGATCTTAATGGTCGAGATGGTATATATTCGATGACCATGTCACAAAGATATGATGGTGCAATGTTGTTGACGCACTTAAAACAAAGAACAATTATTTTGTACTGAATTCGTGCTTTCACCGGAAGCCAATGTAGTTGAATTAGCATTGGTGTTATATGCTCTTTGAGAGATTTCGTTAAAATTATGCGAGCTGCTTGCTTCTGGAGTCTCTGTAATCTATTTAATGTTTCAGTAGGAAGGTTTCCAAACAAAGAATTTCAGTAGTCTAGACATGAAAGGACAAAAGAAGAGATGAGGGTTTTGATGGAATCAACACGAAGATATGTTGACATTTGTCCTATTCTGCGTAGTTCTAGATAAATTACCTTACATAGATGTTTTATTTGATGGTGCATAGAGAGTTTGCAGTCAAAATAAACGCCTAGATTTTTTGCTTTATCGCTTTACATTAAGAAAAGAACACAGAGAAGCCGTCATGAGAGAAAAGGAGAAAATATTAAAGTTAATCGAGACAAATGGGAGTTTAAAAAAATGAAATTGTGCTATTTGATCTACAACATAGAAATAAAATCTTAGATGCAATTTTGGAAGAATTGTTGCACAACACAAGAGGAACTAAATGATTTTTGACACAATTGTTCACTTGAAGACATGAAAAGAAGTCAAGTAAGATATCAACAGATATTTCTAAATAAAAACATTTAAATTTCAGGGACAAAGAGGCAGCTCTATGAAACACTACGAAATTGTATTATTGAGCGGGGGGGGGGGGGGGGGGGGGGGGGGATAACTAGATTGGTAATTCAGTCTCACTCAAATTGGTCAGCGGACACTTATTGGTTTCAACTGCCTGCTCTGTTTTGTTTTGATGAGTGTTTTACGGTGTTTGCAGCTGCATAAGGCATGATAAGCTCATCATAATATGAGCATGTGGGACGTATTAAACGTGTTTAGTATTTTTGGAATTAATTCTTAGTTTTGCCCGGGTGGCGGCGAAAGCCTACTCGTAAGGATTTTGGATCACCAAAATGGTATTTTTTTTAAATGGTGAAACGGTATAGGTATAACACTGTTAGGTTATATAGGAGGCGAGACCTCTGAGTTTAACGTCGAACTCCGAAAGGAATGAGACATGTGGGAAATTTGTGTAAAGTGCCTTTTTCCAATGATACAACG